CCGCGAGGGAGGCCCGCGCGCATCGGCCCAGGCTCCCGGGAAGGGGGGGGGGGCGGGCGGGAGGCAGCTGGTTGCGTGCCCTCCTGGCGTCCCCCCGGCCGCGATGGCGGTCGCCGCCATTTCATTGTGTACTCGCTGCCATCATATACGTACGCTTGCCAATTCGCGCGTCCTTCTCGAAGGTCACACGGGACATTGCCACCGGCCGGTGTTCGGCTCCCCCTCAGGGGCGTGCAGGGAGCCTGCCTCGGCACCTGGACACTCGCTGTGCGGTGGCATGGGTGCCTGTTTTTGCGTGTGCGTCCATCTGCAATCCGCGTGCGTCGGTGCGCCCGGGCCTCTCTGGGAATGGCGCCTGCCCATGCGCGCTGCCGGGCCCTCCTTCGCGCCGGGCCGCACGGCGAGACGCGCGCCCGGCGCGTGGCCGGTCCGCCGCCGGCTTCCGAGCGGCGCACCCGACGAGGCCGCCGAGCTGGCTGCCAGGCGGGCGCGCGTCCGGCGGCGGCCTCGGCCTCGGGGCCGGCGCCACCGTGCCGCCTCCGGCCGAAGACCGCGTCGAGCGCTCGGAAGCCGGCGCTCGGTCGTGGCCCGGGACGTGACCACCGGGGGCGGAGGACGGGGGAGGGGGAGGGGACGGGGGGGCCTTGCCGAGCCGGGGTGTAGCACCCACGCCTCGGCCCTCCGTCCGGGAGGGGGCTGACACATGGCCGCATTGCTTTTGGGGGTGAGGTTGGGCCGGCGCCGGGCTGGCCGTGCCCCGGCCGGCATCCTGACCCAGCAGCCGCCGTTGTGGGCCGGGCTTCGGGGCCCGGCTGCCGGAGGGCCCCCGGCCGGGCTGGGAGCTGCGGTCGGGCGTGCGAGTCCCGCGCGGCGCCAAGCGCCCTGGGCCCGTGCTTGTGCGCCGTGAGGCGGGGCGGCGGGGCGGGGGTGTCTTGTGCGCCGTGAGGCGGGGCGGCGGGCCGAGGGTGCGGGGTGGCCCGCGGGTGTGCCCGCGGCACCGGGGAGAGGGGGAGGGCGATGTGAAGCGGGCGGGGGCAGGCTCGCCCCGGCCCCTGGGACCTGTGTTTTAGGCCCGGGAAGCGGGGTCGCGCCGGCGCCCGAGCCGATGGCTGGGCATCCGTGCGGGCTGGGGCGTCCGAAGCAGGGCGCCCCGCCGGACGGTTGGCAGATCCGGCTGCGGCGCGCGCGCGCCAGCGCCGTTGGCCGGAGATAGCTGATTGGCCGCTCCCGGGCGGATGGCGTTCGCCCGTTGGCCGGCTCGGGGCGCCACCGGACCGGCGGCCGGCGAGCATGTTTGCATGGCGATGCCCTGGCGCCCGGGACTGGCAGAGCGAGCGAGTTTGTACGGGGGCGCACCCGCCGTGGATGGCGGCCGCGCTGGCCACGGCTCCGGGTGTCGGGCGCTTGCTTTGCGCATCTCGGCGGCGGGAGCCCCCATGTAACCCGCCGGGTCGAGGGATCATTTCGGTTACGAGCCGCACGTGCCCGACCCCTCACGGGCCCGGGCCTTGGGCGGCATTCCGCCCCGGGGCGGAATGCGCTGCGGGGCGCCGGACGGCGGGGGGGCGGTTCCGGAGTGTGGCCGGGCCCGGTGGCGGGGCTCTCCCCGGTGTGTACCCCTCGATCGAGCCCGGGGCCCGGAAGGCCGGGCGCCTGGTGGGGGGTCTCCCGAGGGCCACGACCCATGCGGCCGCGTGTCGGCGGGTCGGTGCGCGAGCGAACGCTGACGCGCCGGCCAAGCCCGCGGACGCCCGTCCTGAGCCCGCCCCGCGAGGCCCCCCCCCCCCCCACGCTCGGTGGTGCTTGCTCTGGCGCCTGGCCACCCACACTCGTCCACGGCCGAGGCACGGTCCTCACCCTTCGGGCGACGGCACTCCCTGGCTCGGTGTGGGCCCTGGCCGGCGGCCGGTCTCCGGCGTGGCTGCCGGCCGAGGCTCGGCCCTGCTGCGGGCACGGGGTGCGTCGTGCTCAGGCAGGGCAGGCACGTCCCCCTGCGAGCCGGTGCTGTCGGCCCGAGCAGCCGGGGAGACGGGCCCCGCCGGAGGGGGGCGGCGAGGAAGGGAGGGGCCGGGCAAAAAGCGGGCCCATATCGGCCCGGGCAAAAGCGTCCCCCTGGCTCTTCTTCCTGCGCCTGGTGCCTGCTCGCTGTCGGCGCCTTCGGTCCAGGCAGGTGGAGGGGGGCGCTGGTTGCGACACCCCGCGCCGGGCTGCGTCAGGGGCCGCCGCCGTGCGCGGTCGTCCGCTTGGGGAGCGGGGTCGGCCTGGGGGCTTGGCCGCGGATGTGGGGCTATTCGGCCGCGAGCGAGGCCCCGCGACTGCGTGGATCCCCGCTCCCCCCCCCCCCCGGGGGGGTGCATCCGTCTCCCCCGGGCTGTGGCGGGTTTCCCTGCTTCGGGGGGCTCGGACGCGCTTCCGCCAAGCGGGGTCGGCCCGGGCGGTGCACACGGCCACCCTGGCCCGGGTCGCGGTCCGCCGGTCGGGGGCGGGGCCCATCGCGGTGCGTGTGCGTCTCTGTCCCGGGGGCGAGCTCGGGGCCGGGGGGAACGCGGGCCCCGGCGGAGCGGCCCCTGGCCGAGGGTGCCCTCCTCGTGGTGCGGCGCGAGAGGAGCGCGCATCCCCCCTGGTGCTCGCATGTTCTTCCCCTGGGGCGTGGCTAGGGTGTCTGTGTGTGAGAGGGGGAGAGGGGCCGGGAGCGGCCCGTGTAATGCTGGTGGGGGCTGTTCGCGGCCGCGTCACGTAGGCGGTAGGGGCGGAGGGGCAGGGGAGTGCTGGATTGGGTGGCGGGTGCCCGGCTCGGTGGGCGCCCTCGCGCCCGGGGCCATGTCCGTCGGATGGGCGGCCGCTTGCGGGGGGCCGCCCCGAAGTCGAGACGGCCAGCAGCCCGGGCCTGGGGAGGTGTCCGACGCGCTGGACGCCCGGCCGGGCCATGGGCGCCGATGCCCACCGGGGCCGGCGGGGGTCTTCCCGCGCCGGGGCTCGCC